GCGTGCAAAAGTCATAGTGAAAGGTGTGTTATTTCAGGAGTTTGAATACACAGAGTTCAGGTTTACCCTGGCTGGGTTCCCTCCTACTATAGGCCTTTGTCTGAAAGAGCGAGCGTGGCAGCCAAGTATTTAACACAAAAAGGCCATCCACACACTCTGAAGGTCTATTTTAGAAGTGCTCTGTTGTGTCGGGTCATTGTCAAATGATCACTGTGCTTAAGAAAGAAGAGGACCTCACACTGGCTGAACTCCTGGTCTGTGTCAGCCACTGTCCCAGGAGCCATGCGCACGTTTTCATGGTCTCATTCATCCTCACTGCAGTGAGGTGTATGTCTTGCCATATTTGTGTCCAGAGAAGGGAACTGAAGCCCAGGGAGGTTAAGCCACAGGTCCAGGGGTCCCCAGTGACTGCATGCTGGCGCCTGTGTGTGCCGGTTGATGGCCCATGAGTTTGGATTTCATGCTCTTAGCAATGGAAACAATTCTGGTTACTTGAAGTGTGGAAGGAATTGATCAGAAGACTTGATGGGCTACAGAATTCACGGGACAGGTGAAGAACTGGCGTGAGGAACGACAGGGACCAGGGAAAAATCTGGGCGGATTCAGCAGGGGACCCCCGCTTAGGTCACATGCTCCTCCCTGGCGCAGAAGAGGCAGGACCCTGTGGTTGACAGGCTCCACTAGGGCTGCATCCTTGGAGGGATGCGGGGTCCAGTCACCAGGAGAAGGAAGGGTGGACCTGGGCAAGCCACAACAGCAGACAGTCACTCGGCAGCGTTACAGTGCACCGTTAAGAAGAGCCACTGACTGTACCCTGTAAGTGTGAATATGTTTTATGGGGTGCCAGGCGCTCTGCAGGGCTGCGGGTGGACTGGCTGCTAAGGGAGCCTCCCTTGCTAGGAGCTGATGCTGTTCCACAGCTGCTTCATCCAGGCCACTCCCTGCAGCAGAAGTGAGGCATCTGTCACCAGCGGGGCAGGGCCCTGGCACACACCCTTGTCCATAGAGCCAAGTGAGAAATGACTGAGCCATGTCACCAGACTCGGACGAACAGACTGAGATGGTTTCTGAGCTGGAAATGTGAGCTAGGTCGTACTCAACCGGCCCCCCGTTTCCAGAGGCACTGAACATGGAGCCGTGGGGAGTCAGCAGATGCCTGTGGGTTTGAGGGAACTTAGCCCCTTTCCTAAGGAGTTGCAGGTGGAGTTTGGGAGTTGGGATCTGAGATGCATCCTGGCACCTCCTGTGTCACAGTTTCCTACGTGGAGGTGAGCCCTGGAACCATTCACATCCCGACCTCGAGAAGCAGTATGAGAGTAAAGCCGTGTGTACACAAAAGCCCTTCAGAAAGCAAAGAACACGATAAAAATGCTTTTCTCATCTCTGCCTTTTGACACACACACAAAAAGATGCTTGTAACTCAAATGACCTAGTCTCTTGTAAGTGCTTGGATTCTGAAATGAGATTTTAGGATCAACTATGAACAAACTAAAGTTATGCTTTTTACCAAGTTGTCATGAGAAATTAAGAACTGGTAGTATCTGAATTTGCACAAATTATTCTGCGATAAAATCCATCTTTTGTCAAATGGAGGTGCCTAACCTCTTAGTGTTACTGTTTTGTTTTATTGTGTTTTTTTTTATTATTATTATAAAAGCATCCTAACCACATTTACAAAAAATCCTAGAAAAAAGTTAAAGTTAAAACAAATCACCACGCTTAGACTACCTTAACTGCTTGCATTTTGACATTTCATTTTCCCAAGTTGGAAGCATCTTTTTATAGTAATTATAGAGCACAAACAGTGGAATCATAGTTCATTGATTTTTTAATAAGAAGTATTTCCATGTCTTCGCATAACCATCAGTTTCAACGAGGTAACCAATCAGACCTCTAAGTACTAATAGAAAAGAAAATTCTCCAAAAGGCAGCCCCACAGCTGACCAGAGAGGAAAGTGAGTTCCCGTGTTTCGGACGCTGCCTGGGAAACCAGCTCCGACCAGCCCTGTCCCCCCTCCTTGTTTTGTTAGACTCACTAATGTAGCTCAAAGCTGCATTCATTTCTGTCTCCACTCTTTCTTTAGATCCTGTTGCTTAAAATACCAGCAAGCCTCCGGGGGAGGTTTGCCCCTGACTGTCCCAGTTTTAGCCTGAAAGTCCTGCATCCTGGGAAACTCCTCGGTCCAGGACAAACAGGGACAGCTGGTCACCCTACAAGGAAGAAATGAAACAAATGTGTGCGAGCAGATTCTACGTAATTGGCCAACCCAACAGGGCTTATTTTCTTGTCCTTGAACTTCTCCGACTGTCAGGATGTGGGTCGCCCACGGGTGCCGGTGGGCTTCAGGACCACCCACCCATGCACTGCACCCACCTGGCTTCTCCGCTCACTCTCACTGCCTCCTAGGATATCTCGCCCACCCACCCAGCCCCAGAGGCAACTGGGATATTCCTGTGAGGTCTGACGAGAGTAAATGTGACATTTAGATAAAAAGAAAAGCTCAGGAATTCTTATGTTTAAGGCTGGGAGCCTTAAAGCCCAGCCCTGCAATCACTTCTCTTGACCATTCATCTGATTTTTTTTTTTTTGGTTGCATTTGACTTATGTGCCCTTTAGAAGTTAAAAATGTTTTCCTTGCTTTGCAAAGGAAGGATTTCCATCTGCCCCGCAACGTGGGCCTTCCACACATCACATGCACAAAATTACGCGGCCCAGCCCTTCCCTGTCGCATTCCAGGGAGTCGGTGCTCTGGTTTATGATGAGTCTGGAGGAACCGGGGACACAGCTCAGGGATGGGAGTCATTTCAATTCAGTCCAACAGACATGCACTCTAATGCTGTACCCCTAAGCCTGTTTTTGCTGTCCTCTGTGGGTTTTCATCCCTTAAAGTTGATATCGATGGAATGAAATCCCTTAAATTGATTTCAAAATATACTGATGATAGTAAGTAGCTACGGGAGACACTCAGGCACAAGCTTCTTTTAGTGGCCAGGGAGGGGAAAACGCCAGAGACACTGGCGCATCCCCTAGTTAATCAGCATCTTTTCCTTGAGCTCTAGGGGAGGAATTGCTTTATAGACGATTATCTTTGTTAATCAGCTATAATGAGGCCTTCCTAGCATGGTGAAGCATTTAAGCCTTGTTTGCTGGTACAGATCACATATAATTGTTTCCATACTGTTGGCAAAACAGCTGTAGGAGTTTTGCAGGGGCCAGAAGTACTCAAGGCCTTTGAGGAAAGGTCTTTGTATAAACAATGCAAATTTTTATTGCTATGGGGGAGGTGAGTTTTTTCAACCGACCGGGATTTTCCCCTTTGGGTTTCTGCTGAGGAGAGTGGAGGTGGTGATGGCCACTAAAGGACATGAAAGACCCGTGTTCTCGCAGCAGAGGCCCGGGGCTCTTTCATCTTTGGCCGCCCCCCGGCCCATGCTGCTTGAGGATTTGGAGTGTGTCAAAGTCCTGGGCTTTTTAATTATGCGTAAGCCTTTTAAGAAGCCCAGACCAGGAAGGCAGAGGTGGAAACACATGCAGTGAAACATTTTATGTCCAGTTTGCGGATTCAACTGAAGGTCTTCTTCTCTTGAGCCAAACCAGAGCTTCCAAACAGATCAAAGGTAGCAGGGCGTTGAGGAAACCTCCTCGCCGGGGACAGAGGGACAACACTTTATGAGAATCCATATTGTGTTTGTTGCAGAAAAATAGCCTAAGAAGAGTAGAAACCAAGGAGAAAATTACTGAAATTTCCACCCTCTAAATTAATTGATTGTATTCATTTTTTTAAGTGTTTCATTCCATATATGTGAATATGTACACCTATTTCATCCATTCATAATTGTGATGTATATCTGACTTTTGACTTTCATACTTAGCATGTATGTGATAAGCATCTTTCACGTTGCTTTGTGGTCCAGTCAAACATTTTAAATGGTTTTGCTTTATCCCATAGAATTTCCATCCCGCAGTTCATTTAATCACTTACTAATTGTGGAACCTTCAGATTGTGTTCAAGTTTTTCATTACATAAGACTAATGAATACAGTTATACAATTTTTTTTTTCCATTTCTATGGGCTTATTTTCATAAAATACATTTCAAAAATTGGGATTCCTGGGACAAGTCTCAGTATTTAAAGTCTTTGTGGTAAGAGTGGACGGCTGCCTTCTGGAAGAGGCGCTCCTGTTACGCTGCCCAGGAGTCCACAGCTCATCAGCACTGGGAATTATCTGAATTCTTTTCAAGCAAATTGAAAATTGTTTGGGAAGAAAAAGATAAGAGTTGCCTCAGAGTTGTTTCTATTAGAATATCCATCAAAGTGGCCAAAAAAACAACAACATTGAATTCTGGGAAGGAGGGACATTTCTCAGGGGTGACAAATGGCTGTCTTATTTAGGAAGAGGCCCTGGAAGCTGCATGGCAGACACAGTTGCCTCCAACAAGTGACGCATCTGAGGCACCTGCGCCTGTCTGTCTGCCCCAAAGCGTTGTAGTTGCCCCTGTAAAGTCAGTGTGGGAGACGGGAGAGTGCGGGTTAGCAACCCCCCGAGAAGGCCCAGCCCGCCAGCTGCTGCAGAGCCTGAAAGCCAAGCTAATGAAATGCAGGCTTCATGACAATCCTGGGCTGGCGGTGGCCTCATTTCCCCTAAAATGTTGTAACTGCAGCCCTCCTCTTGAACGTAGCCGTGCATCCGAGAGAGTAATATCACCCTGAGCAATACAGAGCCGGCACTTGTGCAGCCGAGAGAGGCCTTGATGTAGGTCCTATGGAGACTCGAACTTTGGGGACAATGCCCTGTTGAGACAAGGCCCGAGGTGACTCCAGGTGGTTGACGTAAATGAGCCCACCGCCCAGGACTGGCCCCCCGAGCACCGCATCAGAGAGGCCCGCGGTCCCCCTTCCCTCCCGTGGTCGCCCGTGCCCGTGGGCGCCCTTTCCGTGCCCAGGCAGGTCCCGGCTTCCCTCCCTGAGTCCCGCCTTTCCCCGCTCTGTGTCACGTAGGTGCTCCTCTACAACGGCCAGCTGGACATCATCGTGGCGGCCGCCCTGACCGAGCGCTCCCTGCTGGCCATGGACTGGAAGGGGTCCCAGGAATACAGGAAGGCCAAAAGGAAGGTCTGGAAGATCTTCAAGTCCGACAGCGAAGTGGCTGGGTACGTGCGCCAAGTGGGCGACTTCACTCAGGTAGGAAAGCGCTTCGGGGCCTGCGGGTTGTGGGGCTGGGGTCTCAGATTGAAAGCAAAGCCTGAACACCCATCGGGCGCAGCTGGCCTCACGCAGAGGCCCAGGCCTGCCAAGGTGTGGCTGCCTCAGTCGTCCTTTCCGCCAGGGAAGACGGGTGTGAGTTTGTATTGCAGCAGAGACCAAAGCGTAGGTATTGTTCAACAATCACAAGGACGGTACCCAGCCAACGAGGTGACTCACTAATGGGAGAATTAGTCCATTTGGGAACCAGATGGAGCTGGACCAAACTCCGTGAGGAAGGGTCAATGTAATCTCCTTTGGCAAAAAGCTCATCACACTTGTGTATCACACATAGAGCCCAGGACAAAAATCTCTCTATCTGATGTCCTAGTGTGACCTTGACTTTAGGGGTCAGGCATTGCTCCTGGCCAAGCCTGCCCACTGTGCCTTCAGTTTGCAGGTCTGAGCTCCTGAGATGAACAGGGCTTCTCCAGGGATTACCCCAAGATTACACGGTCACCTCCAGAAAGTTTTTGGAGAAATTAAGACAATCCCTTGGTAAGCTTTTGCTTAGTTAGTCAAGAGAAGAAAAGTCAAGTCTTTTGTACTTGATTTTTATTTCCCTCAATTTTTTATTTGAGGCAACATTGGGACCTCAGTTCTGTCTCTCCGGGTATTTGGAATTACAGCTTCTAAATGCTTGAATTTTCCGTTAGGCAAACCCGTGCTCCAAACAGAAATTAATCAGAGGCATACTTCCTTGAAAGTACTTTGCTCTGAGATAATAAATGGGAGTTCACAAAGAATTTCATAAGGGTTCCTGGGTTATGATATGGATTACTCATGTTAGAAGAAATCATAGGTCAAGTAAAATTATGGGTGTTCTCATGTAGGAAGGGTGGCTTTGCCTCCCCCACCCCAGTTGCTCTAACCATTAAATAACATGTAAGAATGGTAAAAGTCAAGGTCAGGGCAAATGATTGAAAATCAGCTCTTAGGGGAAAGTTGTAATATTAATATTTAGGCCATTAAGGGCAGACTTGAATGCAGAGCAGCCGGGGAGCAATGGACATGTCACTTGTCCCCATCTGCTCACTGCTTTCCAAGGAGGGTGGCTTCGGGCACGCTCGGCGTGTCCTCCAGATCCTTTCTCGGCCACCTCCCCACTTGTTTATTTGTGTCCCCAGCCCAGCCTGTGGGCGCTGCAGTGGCTGGCACTGCACACGGGTCCTGACAGCTCTGTGCACAGGGCATCAGCTTGGGTGACCAGATTGTGGCCGCATGTGCCACCGAGGTGGGAAAAGGGGTTGGCTGCCACTCAGAACCTGTGCAAATATCACAGAACACCCGCTGACCCTTCTCATGGACGCAGAGCACACCGAGAGCTGCAACGGCAACTCCTCTGGCTGCCAAAACTGGGCAACCAAAGGAGCAAGGCCCACGTGTGTTTGATAGGGAGGCTTTCCCCACGTGGCAAGGGATCTGTGTGTCATGTAGGTGACTTAAAAACGTTGGCAGAGCTCCTGGCCCTACCGCTCAGCGGAGGGTGGGGGCGAGTGGAGATGAGGCGGAATGGAGGAGGGAGAGCGCCCCGGTGTTCACAGAGGCATTCTCTGTGAGCCCCGAACTGACGCACCGTCCAAATGTCGAGCGGCCGACAGTGAAAACAACGGACCTCGGCCATGGACTTGCATTCCTGCCCGAGACACACAACACAGAAGCACGCGTGTCTGCCAGAGATGAAACTGCCCCTGCCAGGCTCCGCAGCTCTTAATTTAAAATCAAAACCGTAGTAGACTTGTCTTTGGATGGTTCCTTAAAATGCCCACTTAAAGGAATGACAGCTCTACGCGGGGAGCACTGGGGGCTCGGGGGAGGAGCAGGCGTCCCCACGGATTCCCGTCAAGCGATACCGGAGGCCCCTGCAGCCAGCCCTCGGCATCAGGCGCAGGGCGAAGGTTGCTCGTCACCCCTTGCAGGACCTGGCCTGGAGCGAGCAAGTCTTTGGCAGCTGTACCCTTCTAAGACTTGGACACGGCCTTATGTCATCTGGGGCAGTGGCCTTTTCTGAGCCTCAGTTTCTTCATCTGTACAATGACAGGTTTGGACTGAGTTATCTCCAAGATATCGTCTAAGATAGACCTGAAATATTTACTTTTCACTAATGCCCAGAGGGGCCTTTTAGCAAGAAATATGGAATAGCATAGATATAGATACACACACACACACACACACACACACATATATATATTTCTCTCTATTACTATTGACTCTGGTGTGTGTGTGTATGTGTGCATATGTATATAAGTATACATGTATGTGTATGTGTGTGTGTATATGTGCGTATGTATATAAGTGCATGTGTGTATATGTGAGTGTATGTGTGTGTGTGTGTATATATGTGTGTGTGTATATGTGCGTATGTATATAAGTGTATGTGTATATATGTGTATGTGTGTGTGTGTGTGTGTGTGTGTGTGTGTATATGTGCGTATGTATATAAGTGCATGTGTGTATATGTGAGTGTATGTGTATGTGTGTACATTGAGATAGAGGTTGACTTAATCCTGTTATAGTGCAGGCCAGAGGTCTGATCCTCTCTCTCTCTGGCTGGTGACAACCCATGGCCATCACGGTCAAGGCCACCTTTCTGCTCCTTTTGGGGTCTTTCTCTGTCCTTCTCTGAGAGTCAGAGTTGCTGTCATGAGCTCTTTCAGTGCTGTCATGGCTTTTGAAACGCAGGACATTTTATTCTTGCATCACTGAGTCATCGCCTTCACCCCCAGGAACTTTTCACTCCACATTTGAAAATATAAAACTGTAATCCGAATACTGGCAACACTGATGACCTTCTGTAAGAACATTTTTCTAGAACAAATTTTATTAAGCTGAATTTTTCTGACAAAAGCATTGAAACCATTACAGATTTTTCTATCTTTCTTTTACTGGAAATATTTTTTTTGAAATTATTTTCCATATAAACATTTAAAGAAAAGTCCCTGGTCAGTTTTCGTTCTTACCAAATCTTACTAGAGATAGCTTCTCATATTATGACTTTAGCATAATATCCAGCAAATCTGTTTTTCCTGATGGTAGTTTAAGTCATTATCTTTTGTTTGTTTGTTCTCATGATCAATAGCAATTCAGGTTTTTCAGTGATTTCTGGATGGGTTATCTCAGCTAGGTAACATTTTACAGCTAGAACAAATTTTAGATCTAATTTTCCAGATGGGGAAAGTGAAGCCCAGAGGTTAAGTGACTGCCCCGAAGTCTCCTACCCATGTCGTGTCGGAGCTAAGATGCCAGGCCCTTGGGCCTGTGGTCTGCCACACGCCTTTTCATCCGCCGGGTTGTGGAATTCTGGCAGCTCCCCTGTAAATTATATGATTGAATTTATCAATTCATAAATGAGGAAACCGAAGTTTTACCTAAGAAACTTGCTTAAGTTTCAAGTAGTAGTTGTGTCTGAGATTTGACCACCCAAACCAACCTTTCCCATGCACCACAGGGCCTTTTCACCTGAGAGGGCAGCCGAGTGGGAAGGGATGGGAGGCTCAGGTTGGCCAGAACCAGGCCACGCATCTGCCCTTGGGGTGTGTGTGAGGTGGTGCTGGTGACAAAGGTGGGGTGGAGTGTGGGTGGTGCACAGCCTTTGGTGGCACATGCAATCCTCAGGGAGTCAGTTGTCCCCTAAAAATAGGGGCGCACTCACGGAGAACGGGCAAAGCCTGGTGTGCAGACAGAGGGCAGAGCTCCGGCTTCCTAACTGTGCTTTTCTAAAACTAGCATTATCTTTATTGTGTTCCTTTGACGACACACAACTAAAACACGGAGAAAAGAATAGCCACAGTGCCTGAGTGGAAGGATTTGAGTGTTTCCACGGATAATCCACAGGGAGCTAGCCGCCTGCCTTCCTCGAACTTCCTGCTGACGATTCATTTTTTAATAATTTTAAACAGCTTTGGGAGCATTAGGAACTATTTCTGAAGGAAATCACAGTTCCAGGAAGGTCTTCAGCAAGTTCTTGATTGCACTGGCAAGATCAGGGTGAGCAAAGAGCAATAAATGTGACTGCTTGAGAGGGAGTGAGCATTTAAGACACTATGTAATGGAGGAAAGTAACTGCCAGACAGATTTGAAACAATGATTACCAAATGCAGCTAATTCCCTGGGAAAATGTTCTGGCTCTGTTACAGAAACTGTTCGACAGAATATTCATCTCTCTCCCAGCCCTGTTCCCTTCCACAAAGGGGGAGGTCCCCATTCATGGGTTCTTTGTCTCCATCTTCTAGAACTAGGGAAAATCCTTCTGTTCATTTATGGGACTCAGACTGTGGCCCGGAAACCAGAACATAGCAATCAAACCACACCCCACATCCTCAAAATGAAAACCTCTTAGACCTCATGGCGGGTTCTCCAGAAGCAGGCATTGAGACTAAATTTGGGATACAAGATGTTTATTAGAAATTGGCACCTTTGAAAGGAAGGGGTTGGAGATCCAGCTGTGATACAGGCCTAATAAACCTTGGCCAGCCTTGCAGGGAGCTCCAGAGAGAGTAGTTTCCATCAGTGTTCCACATCCGGCCAAAACGACCAGGCCTTTCTAAACCCACCTCGCTCAGTCACCAAATGTGGGCATCATCATAGGAAACACTGCTCTGTGCAGACCCTGAAGGAGCTGGACAGCTGGAGGCTTCCTGCTGACTGGACTCCCAGCAGCTGGGCAGCAAGTGCACCCATGAAGGGGGATCTGATGGTCGATGTCTCTGTCTGTCACATTGGCCACCCAGATAATGTAGTTGCAAGCTCTCAGGAGCCAGGGGGGTTGCCTATGACCACATGGAATATTGGTCTTCCTTTGTTTGTATTATGTAAGCTTTTGCCTACACTCTCAGTGTAATTTTGTCTTCTAGCAGCATTAGAAAGATGAATCCAGCCTTGCTTTTCAATTCTTGTTGAGATTCTAAGAGAGGAAACAACCGATACTCCAAGAAGAAGAA